TTCACATTTCTAAATACTTGCTTTTCATTTTGTATATATGTGATGTGAATATCTTCATTAGTTTCCTAGGAGCTGGTTTTCTCTGTATTATTATTTAATCCATAATCCCATCAGTTTTTGTTATCTCCTTTAATAAAATAATAATTAAAGAATTAATAATTAAAAATCATTAGGTTATTTTTGTACCAGGGAAATATTTAAATTTCATGAGAAAAGATAGAAATAGAATTTATGTTGTAATGATTAAAATAAAAGTAATAGAATCATTGGAGAGGATGCTATTTTAGAACTCAAGATCCAGTATTCAAGAACTGGAGGTCTTCCTGAGGAAGTGACAGTCATCAACAGCATTAAATATTAAGAATTCCACAATATTGCATAGGGTAAATCAAACTGGGCATTGGAGCTAGGAATCCCTGCATTCTGGAAGCAGAGACAGGCAGGTCTCTGTGACTTCTAGCTATGGTTACACAGTGAAACCCTGTCTCAAAACTAAATAAATAGCCCATTGGTAGCTTTGGTGAAAGTAACAGAGGAGTCTCTGGAAGATTCCAGTTGCATGAAAAGTGAAAATTCAGAAAGTAAAACCAAAATAGCAGAGCATTCTGAATATGAGAAAATGAAGTACTAAAACCGCTTTGAAACCTATAAAGTGTAAAGAGTGTGTGAACATTTTCAATGTGTTTTCACAGAATTCGGAAGTATCTGTGTTTGAAGTGAACATTCGATTTATTGGAGGCCTACTTGCGGCGTATTACCTTTCAGGAGAAGATGTGAGTAAAATCAAGTAATACTTGGTTTTTTTTGGGTGAGAGGAGTTACAGAATGGAATTTTGTAAAATCAAACATTGCTCTAACATCATGTTGTTTTTCTAATTTTTCTGAACTAATGTTTCTGAAGTAATCTAAACATTTTCTTTTTATATAGATGTTAGAATCAGCTTGCAGGTTTTTACAAAACTTAAAGTTTTGGATGGGATTATAAACTTGGAGAGAGTTGAAAGCCTAATAATTTTGGCTGTTCTGATCTATGAACATGGAATGTCTCTTCATTTAGTTTTTTAAAAGGTTTTATTTATTGGTATTTCTTTAAATTAAAGTGCAAGCACACACACACGCAAATGCAGACACATAAATAAGAAAACAAATCTTCATTTTTTCTACATTTCTGTGGTGTGTGTATGCATGCATAATTGTATTTATACTTGCATGTGTGTATGTATGTATGTATGTATGTATGTATGTATGTATGTATGTGTGTGCATGTGGAGGTCAGAGGGCAGCTTGGGGGAGTCTTTCCCTCCCACTCGAGATTTTCTTAACTTCACTAATTAGTTCTGATGGCTTTTAAATAAATTTTAATAGATTCTTAGAGATTTTCTTTATAAATAATCCTGTCATTAGTAAATAGAGGTGTTGTATTTTTCTCTGTCAAGAATTTTCTTTTTCTTGTCTTAAGTTGTTGCCTAAGATATCTGTTACAAGGTTGAACAGGATTATGAAAATGGGCATCCTTGCCTGGCTCCTGATCTTAGACAAACACTTAGTTTTGCTCTATTAAACTTAATGTTAGCTGTACATATTTTGTTGGTAGATACCCTTTAATGCCTTAAGGACATTTGCTCATACTCCTAGTTTGCTGAGTCTTCTCTTTTTTTTTTGAATGAATGGATGTTTTGATAGCAAATTGCTTTTGCATGTAATAAGATGATGATATGGTATTTATTTTAAAATTTTCCTTCCTTTCCTCCCTCCTGCCCTGCCTCCGTGTATGCTGTGCCTGTGTTTGTGTGTGTGTTTAGGTCAGAAGACCACTGGAAGGAGTCCATTCTTTCCTACCATGTGGGTCCTGGGGATTGAATTCAGGTCATAAGACCTGGTAGCAAGTGTTTTTAGTTCCTGAGCTATCTTGCCAGCCCTTTACAGGGAATTAATTGTATGTTGGATTTCCTTCATTCATCTATTTATTTTATTTGTGTGTTTTGCCTGCATGTATGTATAGTCATCACGTGAGTGCAGTGCTCTCAGAGCCAGGCCAGAAGAGGACATCAAATCCTCTGGACCTGGAGTTACTGACAGTTATTAGCTACCATGTGGGTGCTGGGAACCTAAATTGGGTCCACTGCAAGAACATCTAGTGCTTTTAACCACTGAACCATCTCTTCAGTCCTACGCTCAGGCTTTTTAATGAGTGCTGGGAATCCATACTCCAGTCCTCACATGTGTGCAGTAAGCACTTACCTTCCTTAGCCCTTATCATCTTTTAACACCCTTATGTGTGCTGGTTTGTGTATTTTGCATAATAATGCTGGCTTCATAAAGTGAGTTGGTAGCTCTTTTTCTGGTGAAGTATATGTGCAGTTGACGTTAATTTTTCTATAAAAGGTAGAATTTTCTAGTGATGCTACTTAGGTTTTGATTTTTTTTTTGCCCCACAATTTATAAGAATATACTCAAATTGTGCTTGGTGGATACAGCATGGTTGGAAAAAGGAAATGTGTTTTATTTTGCACAGAGTAGTATATAAAGGTGGCTTTTCCACCTATACCTCTTCTACAATGATAACTTCATCAAATATGCCCAGCTCTTGGTCTCTTTCATTGCTGGGAAATTGGCAGTAAGTGAGTAGAGCAACTTTTATGTTTGTTTTAAACACTTCCGTAAGGAGGAAGTTTGGGGTCAAGTTAAAAAAACAAGGCCCAAGAGTAGGCATTCTGTTCTTAGTTTTCCTAGGGGAAAAAGACTTTCTGAAGAAAGCTACCACTTGTTGGCCTCAGTAGGAGAAGAGGCCAGACTTACTGGTTGGATGAAGGCTAAATTAGAAAGACGATAAGATAGGGTTGAGCAGCAGACTTGCAGATTCAAGCCAGAAGACTGAAAGGCATTTGGGAGCTCTTAAGGAATTAAGAGATTTTAAGCCATAAATTCCACCCTTCTCTACTTCGAGTAGAACTTCTTTCCAAGATTACAGTGGAATTCTAGTTCCAGGGCCTAGCTTTGCTCCTGGTCACAGAGAGAACATATGAGGCAATGGTCCCTCAGGTAGTAAAGGGGGAGAGTTAAATAGCCGACCAAGAGATCAGTACTCTCATAGTGGCCATTCTCAGACCATACCACTTTTTTAAAACAGTACTTTTTTTTTTAGAAAAGTATTTATTATTTTTATTATTTTATGTGTATGAGTGTATTGTCTGCATGTATCTCAGTGGATCCTTGTAGTGCAGTGCCCATAGAAGCCAGAAGAGGGTGTCTGATCCCCTGAAACTGGAATTATGGACTTTTGAAGCTGTGGGCCAAAATCATGGTATAAAATGAAACTGTGACTAACATAGAGAAGTTTATAAGCTCTCCCTAATAAAATTTCAATCACTGTTTCTTTGACTCTTTCCTATGAACTGTTCCCAGTCTTGAGGTGAAGAACAGACCAGGAAGAAAGAATGGGAGAAAATGCTGAGGCCAGTAAGTGGGTTATAGCTGAGATTGGATTCATCTACCCACACTGTATAGAAAGAGTTCCCTTCCTTTGCTGGACATACTGGCCATGGAGCTGAAGGCCAGACAGAGGCAAAAGGAAAACACAGTACATTCTGATTTTCTTGCTTTAACCTTTTACAGAAAAGAAATTGAGGAGGTATAGAACAGCATGCAAATGTAAGCTAGTCTGAAAAGGAAGAGGGTGTGTCTCTTATCCTATATCAAAATCTTTAGAGAACATTCTCAGAACTACAAAAGAATGAGACACGCAGAATGGGAGGCATGTAGTGGAGTGTGCGGAGTGGGAGGACACCCACAGCCATGACAGAGCTCTAAGGATCCCCTGTGAGCATCAGTTTGGAACTAGATGAGAATCAGTTTATATGAGTCTTATGAAAGGAGTAATGAATGAGGAAAGTGGGGGGGGGTCTTCCCCATCAAGTATCTACTTGATATCATTATTGGGTGGCTGACCGCAGTACCTGACAGTCTGCAGCATAGGGTACACCTATAATCTGTATCCCTCAGTTGCCCCCTTCCTTGGACCCCTTGTGGAGATTGTTCTCCATAATCCCTTCATCTACAGTTTTATGTAAAGCCAGGATATATCCCTGTGTGTTTCTAGCAGAACTTGCTTGACTATATTTTTCCTTAGCATTTGACCCAATAGGTGAAGAGGCAGTACAGAGTAGCCACAAGCATCTGCTCCTTTTCACAGGAGGACTATGAGTTACAGAGAAATAGGGACACATAACTGCATTTTATACAACTGTCATTCCTTCCAAGAAGGCTAACTTCTCTGTCTCATTAAAGATAGTCTTAAAGTTGACACTGGGTGGATGTTGCCATAGTATTTGGCAAAAAGTTGGTCTTCTTCATTGCCTACATCAGTTCGACTTTGTTGACAGTACACAGTGAGACTTCTAAACTATGTGAGGCACCACCATGCCTCACACGCCAACATGGAGGCAGGCTATTTCTGCTTGAGTGACTGCTGTAGTTCTCCTTTTCAGGAAATTGCCTGTTGTTTTCCAAGTTGACTAATTCGTGGATATAAACTTGTTTGTATTACTGCATTGTCCTTTCATATATGTAGGATTATTTAGTTATGTTCCATATTTCTTTTTTAAAAGCCAGTGGTTTTAGTTATATTAATGTTGATGCCTGTTTCAGAGAATTTGTTTATGGTTTTATTGCTTGCTGTCTTGTATGTCTTTAGTTTTTATTTTTGCTTTCAACTTCCTTCTGCTTGCTTTGGTCTTTTCCTAGTCTCTTAACGTTGGAACTTAGATCACTAACATAGCACCCTACTTTTATTCTAATATAAAGGCATTAATTACATAAATTGTTTCTTAGCTCTTTAGCTACAGCCCATGGATTTTCATATTTTATATTTTAATTTTACTTTGGTTCAGATGTTTTCTAGTTTCTCTTCTTTACTTACTAGGTTTATTTTCCCATACTATAGAATTCTCTATACTATAGAATTCTCTTTCTTATTAATTTCTGGTTGTTGTTTTCTTTTTCAGACAGGAATCAGGTAACTTTTCTAAGTTCGTTAAAGCTTATTTGTCTACCAGAAAGACTCTGTTCTGCCTTAAACAGGCTATATTTGAATAGAATGTAGATATCTGTGCTTGGGTTTGAATAACAATTCCACCAAACTGGTTAATATTGTTGCTTGGATATTCTATTAGTTTAGCAATTTTTCTAGCCAGATGTACGGTTGAATACTCAGTGATGAATCTTGAATACTTTAGCAATAATTATGAATTTATCTGCTTTTTCTTTCAGACCTATCAGTTCGTGTGTTATACAGTTTATACAGGAGTTCTACTCTTAGGAATATAGACCTGTCAGTTTATGAGTTTCACAGTTTATACAGGACTTCTATTCTTAGGTATATACACATTAAGATTTGTTATCTTTTTAGTTCACAGATGCTTTTAGTTTATAATTTTTCTCTGTCCCTGGTTCTTTGTCTCTGATTGTGTTCTCTGTTCTTAATCTTTTTTTCTTTTCCCAATATAGTCATTTCACCTTTCATTAATAAGAGTTTGTGAGAGGTTAGTTTTAATGTCAAGTTGACAACAATCTAGAATCACTTGAGAAAACAGTTTTGATGAGGAATCATCTGAATTGGGTTGGTCTGTGGACACGCCTATGACAGATTTTTTTAGTTGGCTTAATTGAGATGGGAAGGCTTACCCTGAATATGGGAGTTGTCACTTCATGGGCTGGGTCCTGGACTGTTTGAGTGTAGAGAGGGAACTGGGCACATCAAGCATGCATGCTTTTA